CCGCTCAGAGAAGTGCCCCCTTCGAACGATGTAGGTGCGGCAGCACTTGAGTGCGCCTCTTCGTCGTCTTCGTCGTTGGATGACTCCTCGCTTGTACGTTGCAATTCACTAGAAGACGGGCGTGAAGGCATTTCCTTCGTGGGGTCAAGTAGCCACGCATCCAGAGAGAGGCCTGCTTCGTCTGCAGCCAACACTTCCTCTATGTATTGTTCCAGAGGATGACTATGCGTTTGGTCATTGTTCACCAGTTGAGAATGCTGTTGGGTGGGTGAGAATTGCGAATCGTGCGACAGTGTGCTGGCCTGCAAGACGCGCGACCCCTCACGAGACTTAGTTGCTTCTGAAGATGGGACCGATGAACCTGAGGGCCCCAGGAGGCCCTCCAAAAAATGTTGCGCCATTACTCCGCTCAGAGAAGTGCCCCCTTCGAACGATGTAGGTGCGGCAGCACTTGAGTGCGCCTCTCCGTCGTCTTCGTCGTTGGATGACTCCTCGCTTGTACGTTGCAATTCACTAGAAGCCGGGCGTGAAGGCATTTCCTTCGTGGGGTCAAGTAGCCACGCATCCAGAGAGAGGCCTGCTTCGTCTGCAGCCAACACTTCCTCTATGTATTGCTCCAGAAGTTGGTATGATTTCAGGTGGGAAGAACCCGCCCCTCGGTTGTCCAGAGGATCCAGGCTAAGTGTTGGCAGGTTTTCTGGTAGCTTCTGAAGATCCCTTGACTCCTCTCCTTCCCTTTCCCCCAGTCTCACACAATACTCATCATTTTCGTCAGCAAACGGTCCATATGGATCTTCCTCCCTTTCCCGCTTTCGGTGTGCAATGCAGCGTGCTTCACCAACGTCCGGTTTCGTAAGTTCAGGAGATTCTGTCGGACGAGTGGAAATCCTCTCTTCAAGTACTTGCGACTCGCATATGTATCCTAGAGTACGTGTAGATGAGTCATCGTACTTAGCTTCCTCCTTGTCAGCTAGCCTACGCGTAGTTGAAGTTCCTAGACTCTGCTTCACACTGGGCACAACGACGCAACAAGATACAAGGAAGAGGACAGCCACGACTGAGGCAATTGTAGCGAAGCCTACAATACACGAAACTCCTCTACGGCTCGGGTTCGCCATGCTTGGCAACGTGTACTCCCCATCTGCATGAGCCTCTGTTCCTCGCCCCGTCAGTTGCAGGAACCAAAGGTCGGGCCGATCGTCCCCACCGTACCTCAACGGCCACAAGCCCAGCATTTATTGTTATTATTGGAGCAATCTTTTAAAAATGCTACTCGAACATATCTGCAAAGTAGGCGGTGCCAAGTAGTCAATATGCTCCCTCAGACACAGCAGGATAGACCCAACTACGGTCCGGTCCACTGGGCAGCATCCAGTGCCCCCCATGGGACACGCAGCTTACGTCCAGTGAAGCCTAAAATTAAGAAGACTAACCCATTTTTGTTAAAGATTCAGGGATCCTTAGCGCGCGCTCTCGTTGGCAAACGCTTTTTGACACTCTTTAAGCAAGCCCCTACTTGTCCCGTGCACAACAGAGACGCCCGCGAACTGTTTTAGAGTGCAGAACAAAACAACCTTGGCATGTCTAAATAAAAGTGTGTTATACTGCTTGGAAAAAGCAAGCCATCCGATATGGTCGCATGTGGGGTTGGGTTGCAAGGCTTGGCTTGCAGATGCAGCAAGGGGTATATTGCAATCCATGAAATGCCCCGTCCTATTCGCATCAGCTGCAGGCCCCTGTGCCACTTTGGCTAGGGCACCCGAAGACGCCTGGACAGGATATCAGTTGCTTTTTGGAATCTTGTATCTTGATTGGCTCTATTCAGCTCACGAGCGCCAAGGTTGAGGGTTCTCGTTGCACGTGGAAGCACCACGTGGTAGGTCGGCAGGCCAGAGAAGCGAAAGGTATCCATAGGGATGGGCTTTACAGCACTGACTCGTCGTGAGGGTCCTATGCAAAAAAGTCCATCCATTCTTCCTTAAATCTGTTTTGACCTTCTTCTACTATCGCGTGATGGTTATTGATGAATCAGTTGTAGTGACGCTCTCTGCTGCTATGCATTCCTACCTACTAGTAGCTACTAGATGCACACCTATATAATACATAAACGCTACGCTCAACGTATAATCCTTCATGTAACCCAGAATCTCAAAGAACAGTCTCTAATTTATTTACAAGCCCTATCTTCTTCAAGAAAGGCGCGTGATAATTATTCGGACTTCCCGCTTATATCCAGAAGTTCAGCGCCTCGCCTGCAATGTCAACCTCACGAAAGGCCAAGACCCTGGGTTGCTGCCGGGCAGTCTTAGCGTGATGGCTTTATTTCGCATCGAAAGTGACTTGATTTATTGAAAGTGACTTGATTTATTTCTAATAAGACAATATTTCCATTCTTTCAGTCAGATGGACCTCTAGAGGTCCAATGCGAGTATCATTGTGGTGCTTGCGCACTTCATCGGCGTTCTGGGGAAGCGACTTACTCCTGCTTTTCATTGGACCAGATGCAGTATCCATTGCTCATCCACATGAGAAGCGAAGATAATAAGGAGTGCCTCGACTTTTCCAACCGTCCAGATGTGACGGGCTTCCCACTGCGAAGGCAATGCAGGAACTTATCACCACTGCGGATATGCATTTCCGTGTTCAAAACGCACCAAAAGTGGTACTGGTGTTATTTGACATCATGGTCATTAGAAGGAGAAGCATGGTAACGACTGCCGCATCTAAGCAAGGAGCCACATTTCCGGAGCCCATCCGAATAGAGGTTTTCCTGCAAGCGCTGCTGTGTGGGTTTATATCTAGGCCGGTAATAAGACAAGCTATGACTTAATCAAGACAAATTGACCAACGGAAATTATCGATGAACCCCTGTTTCGAGAATTATCAGTATTTGGTGAACACAAGTGGACTTTGTCAATGACTCATGGCACACTTTCCACCTGCAAAGTAGCAACGGGTACGTGGCCGGGCTGCGGAGCGGGATACACGGGTTAAAGGAGGAAATTGGAGTAAACAATGGAGTACTCACGCATGGAAGAGGGAAAAAGCGCCACTGCCAGCGCCCTAGCTGAGAGGAGAAGAGGAAATATCGGAAGTGACCCCGATGTAAAGCCTATGAGCATTAGCTTGGTGAATACCAGCTATGCTCGGAGAAAAACAAGCACGGAAGTCGGCGAATTCGGCACTTAGCATGCCTAAAGGAAGCACCAAGTGGCGCAGCTGCCTGCTTCCTTTGCAACAAACAACTCCACCGGGCTGGGAATTACACGAACGTGAAAACAGCTAAGGAATTGAGAAAGCAAGACTTCGAGCAGCGCCAAGACCGGAACCAACAAAAAGGTCAGGGGTAAGCCCTGCCTTCCACGCGGGAGAGTGATGAAGCCAACAGAGGTGACAGCCGCACCTGCAGGTCCCCCACGTGCCAACTCGGTCTTCACCCACATCTGCATTCAGGCCGAGTTGCAAGTGTCATTTGACAAAGGAAACGGAGTGGGTTTGATATCTGAAGCAGCAGTGGGGACGTGCCGCCTACCTGTCCAATAACTGGCATTTGCCTTCAATTCTCCCCCAATGGCAGATGGGCGACGAGAAGCGGCGAAAATATAGGCAATATAGGGCCCCTACTCAGGGATGGCTCTTATCGAAGCACGATTGCTTTCTTTTATCGAAGTACCACGATATAATCCTTGGCATTCCATGGGTGAATTAGTGGATACCGTTCATGAGGCCTCTGGTGTAGTGCACAGGAACATCAATACAATGATACTCTAACTGGAGATAAAGAGGACTATCCGGCAGAGAGAGTACAAGCAATATATTATTAGAATAAATCAAGTTACTTTAAACAGGAAATAAGGATAAAAGGCTAGGAGAACTAGGCAGCTACCTAGGTTCTGGGGCAAGCTGTGAGACTGACACTATGGAGAACTGAGCCCGGTTTGGTCCGCACGTGCGACTCTAACTGGCTATGGCCGATCTAGTTAGCTATCTACACAACCTAGCTACCAAATACACCTCAGAAACGAGAGAACCCCCAAAACCGTGGGAGTTTCCACGTTACGAGAAGAACTCTGTTCTTACCATCCCGCGGCGAGGACGACTGTAGCATCATCTGAGCCACTGCCAGCCATAAAACCAGGATGCACTGCCTAGTGCCTCTACCCTGTAGCCGGTTTTGATATTAAACACGGTTTCCTCTTTTAGCTTATTTATACGCATTTTGTTTCAAATTATCCGGCATCTGGAGAGCTTTCCGGCGCACCATTGTAGTGCTGCGCGCCACATCCACTGTAGTTGAAGCGTTGACCGGCAAGGGGACCGCATCGGCAGAAGAATTACTTTTCCTCCTCCTTTGAGAGGATTGGACCAGCATACGACTAGTAGACATCTCTTTGACATTATAGGGTTATATCAAGGGTAATGCGCTGATTTTAGCGTGTATATATCGGGTGTGCACCTAAATAGGAATACATAAGACCGAATGAAAGTGGCAGCAGACAGCCCTGATCACTGCGTCTCGAAGCCATTGTTGAGACCTATGTGCTGGGAGCCAATAGGACATTCCGCCTCGTACACTTCCTAAGAGCATTTGCACCCTGTACGGTAGGAGGAGTTAAATCACTATTCAGGGAAGGAAGGAGAGAGGATGCTCCCAACACGTGCACAGATACGGTGTAGTGAACAGCTGGCCTACGCTGTCACTACGATAGATCCCTAGGTTAGACAGAATAGGTGCACACACTATATCCAGACACCAAAATCTATGATTCTCGCTGCAACCACTAACTAACACAATCAACAACCAAATATACGATAGAGTTCCTAATATTGTTCAGAGAGAAAAGCCAGAACAATAGAACTGATGGCCGACCCTCGCCTAAGGCGTG